TAGTCAATCAGCAATTAATCTTACGTTAAGGGCACAAACGACATGTATAATGGCACGTATCGATACACTCGTACACATAAGACCATTGGGCAATTGATCTCAAAAGAAATAATATAACATTGATTATGAAAATCAATGGTTAATAGCGGATCCGCGACTAAAAGTCAACTAAAGAGATCAAACATATTGCCTATCTAGGGGAATGGGATTAAAACCCATAAATTAAGGACAATCTTGGTGGTAACCCAACCATGCTGACTGGAGATCCCAAGAACTGGTTCAAAAGGGACAACTAAGCTAAGAAAGTTCAGTTGAGCACTAAGGAACTCATTCCTAACTCATTCCCGCGAAAGATAATAGTGCTACCTGCAGAAAGGGTAAAGGATAAGCTAACGCTTTTAATGATTCCAAAACCTTATAACAAAAGGTGAGGTATTGGCAGGATACCTTTAATAGGAGATCACCTATGTAAGTGTATGAAGTGAGGGCCGCTTCAAAAACTTGACAAACACTTATGAATCCAAGATGTGTGTCCATGGCCAAAACGGACACAATCATGAGAACTAAGGAAATGTGAGAATAGTATTGTGTGGGTTGCATTGTCTTGGTTTACACGAACGGCTGACAGTTCAAGACATCGCGTTCACTACTCAGCCTAGTAAATCCGATGTAACTCCACTACGGAAGGTTCAAAGCTATATGCTACCTATCCCGATGCAATACTATTCGTGGGAACTCTAGAGAGAATCGACGCCCTTGTTTTCATTCATGTGGGGGATTGTTGGGAAAATTGGTTAAAAATTGAGTCATGAACAATTTTTTATCAATGTTATTGTACGGTCTAATTGAGTATATAAATGAATTTTGGATTAGAACCAATTTTGTGGTGAATGAAAAAATTACTAGTCCAAAATATAAGGAAAGTGGGATTTGAGTTATCCCACATTGGAAAAGTAGAGAAGTACTGAGCTGTATATATATCAAAATATTGGGACGGGCCAAAAACATTAGGTCATGGATTTTTAACCCATTGGGCCCTTATTACTCGAAGCCCATCTCGATTGGTCTGACTGGTCTGAATTGGTGCGGCCGAACCAATGCAAACCATTCGGCTCAACTCGAAATGGTGCAACCACTCCCAATTGGCTCAACTCGAAATGGTGCAACCATTCAAACAAAAGGTACCTTTTGCTCCAAAGGACACTACTTTTCGAACCTTATAAATAGACCATAACTTTCCCAAAATTCCTCACTTCAATCAAAAAAATAAGCCTACTACATATTAAGCCTACCCTTCACAGATTCTCTCGAAATGTTCTACACAAAGTACAGTTCGTCGTACTTGGGATTTGGAGTGCTCCTATTCCAAGTTTTGCCGTTGTATCTTGGGAGACGATTTCCATTTAATCCGTTAGCACCGTTGCGGGGAAATTTCGTCTTAAGGACAGAGACAACTCGCCTCGGCAAAATTCTCGTTCATAGCAGATTTCCAACAATTAATTAATTTGTTCAACCAATTTACTAAATTCACTACCCCTTTTATGTACCGGGAACAACAAAAAATACATATCATTATTTCAATATCAAATCTATCTTTTCTTACCAGTGTTCACTTTCATATAAGGTGTCCAAAATTAATGTTTGTAGACCCATTCATTTAATTTTATTTGTTTTGTGTGTGTGATGTCTTTATCTCAACTTGGCCGACAACACACACTTGTGTTTTAAACACCGAAATGAGACACTTATTGGACAGTAATAAATAGTGTGTGTGAATGAAAAATAATTATATAATTTCTTACATGTACACCATAGTCCATATTTTGTACACTTAAATAAATCGACATTCTCGTATAATAGCTTGCAAATCATACGATAAACGTAAACTACCTAGCAACCATAGATAAATGAATTCGAACATAAATCAATTAACACAGCTTCACTTTCTCGCTTTTTCTGATAATCACATATATTATTTGTTTGCGGACCTACTAATTAATAACCAACCATGATTTTCCTAGTCAGGAATTAATTAATCCAATTATTTTCCAGAACTTTCCTTTGATATTGACTTGTGTGGTCAATTTATTTTGGCAATTAATCAACATTACAGAAAATGCAAGAAAAAAAAAAATCTTACAAGTAGTGTTCTTTTAATTTTGTCCAAATGCAGTCGCTATTTCTATTTTATACGTAAACTGAAGATGATTGTATTCTACGTATTCAAAGTGAATTCTTAGTCCTGTAAATGATGATTTAACGGTTAGAGCAAGTGAATTGTATCAAGTGATCTAAGTTTGAATACACTTACTTGTCAATGGTTGCTAGGTCGAGTTTACACATATAATTAACCTAGTGTAGTTTGTGTCTCTCGTATGATTAACAAACTATTATATGAGAATATAAATTTATCCAGTGCACCTAAATAGTTGGAGGCCGATTCCTTTATTAAAAAAAACTCAAAATATAATTGACCTATTATTGTAATTCACTTTATATATATATATATATATATAATTTTTACAGTAAACTGTTCTATCTAATAGTCAGAACAACCTTCTTGATATGGAACTAATATATCTTAACGTTTTCTTGTTGTCATTTTTTACTTTTGAGTACATTATCAAATCATAGACTAACTTTATTTATCAAAATTAATCACTAATTTTATCATTTTATGTTTGAATATTATCTCACGTGGCTATATATATATATTCTCCGCCAAATCAACCTCTCATCTACGTCCACGTGGCCACTCACCACTCAGCAAAATGCCAAATGCTGCTAAAACACGCTTAATACTCCAAATTACCGACCAACACACGCTGCAAATTCTGGTGTAACACGCTTTTCTGATTTCTCCACTACCTCTTTTTCCCAAAATAATAATAAAATCCTAGACTTTGTTTATTTTCTTCAACTCTCTAATTTGGAATTTGTCTAATGAAATAGATCTAGGACTAGGTTTGAGTATGACTCATAGAACTTTATCCAATTTTTATTATTATTTTTTTAATTAATTCATAAATTAAACAATTTCAATTTCCAGGGATTTACCTGTTGATAAAATTGTCAACCCCATAATTAATTTAGTTGGATATACCTGATTTTTTTAATTGATTCAAACTAACTAAATAATATTTATTGATTCATAAATTGTAGAATTCTTCAATGTCTTAATATAATTTTTTATAATTATCTTAATATATTTTTTTTATATAATTATCTTAATATAATATTTTATTATTATTATATTTGTCACACGGTGATCCCAATAATGCAAATATACATCATCTTATCTAGCCAAATCAATTTGAAGGCACCCACCCTATTTTCATATTCTTTGCGTATAAATTCCTTCAGCCTCTCCTACGATTTCTAGCCTCCTTCTTTCTTAGGGTAAACTCTTTCTCTCTCTAGAACGAACAAATTAATTAATAGTAGCCGTGGCATTATATTCTGGTTATGTACGCTGACGGCCATCAAGAACTTGAGAGCCCCCTCTCCGCCGTAGCTCTCGGCTTTCCCCGCCTCCGTTTCCTTCGCTACCGCCGCCTGAGGTAACTAACTTCAGGCACACACAAATAGTTGTATATATATAAATATATTTGTATAAGTATATTTTTGGAATGCCTTCGCCAAAGTGTCACCGGAAAGGGGGTTTGGAGAAGAACAAGAAGGGGAGGTTGTCGGAGAGGGCGTCGTCCTTCCACGTAAGAGGGGGCGGAGTGGTGGCCGAGATGCTTCCGAGGCCGAGAACCGTGCCGGATTTACTGGCTGCAGGGAGGAGTTCCGGCGGAAGTGCCACGGAGGAGAACATGGGTAGGCCGCAGAAGCTCACGAAGCTGCTGCTGCACGTGACGGTACAGAGGAGCCCTGGCGCCGTGCACGTGCTGCTGCCGCCGGAGGCCACAGTGGATGACTTGATTGCGGCGGCGATACGGCAGTATGTGAAGGAGGCGCGACGCCCTGTTATTCCGGCGGACGGTGCGTCTGGATTCGACCTCCACTACTCTCAGTTTAGCTTAGAAAGTAAGGATCTTCAATTCTTGATCTAATTAAGCTTCTTTGTGTTTATAGAATTCAAAAGAAATTAGTTCAATGAACCCATAAAATAGAAAAGCTAATTAAGTTAGTAATTTGGTTGTATATATCCACAGGTTTGGACAGAGAGGAGAAGATAATGGAATTGGGTTCAAGAAACTTCTTTCTCTGCCCAAAAGAGGCGGCGGCCACTACTAATACCAGCGGCGGCGCGTGCGTGATGACATCAGCAAAATGTTCAAAGGAAGTTGTAGATGAGGCAATGAAGAAGGATTTACCTTGGCTCAAGTTGTTGAATTTTTTGCTGTAAAAAGCAGCCTCTTTTACAGCGCCACATCTTTGTCTTTCCAAAGATTCCTACTACTAGTAGTATTTATTAGGTCAAGATTCTACAAGTTGTACAAAAAAATAATAATATATTCTTTTTAATTTAGGTTGCTACAATTTTCAAAATTAAAACATGGTGACTCAGTCTCTATCTTCCACCTGTCCAATGAAATGAGTCCACCCATTATATTATATGAATTTAGACACCATCTTATCTATTTTCTTAGTTTTCTTTGATTGGAATGGTATACACAAAGTTCATGCATGTTCTTTAAATATGTTGTTATTAATTTATTATTTATAAAACTAGTATTTAGTTTGTTCAATATCCAAATGTATAAATCGTAACCCAGCCAAAGTGTCAAGACCGTAAGAGAAATGGAAAATCAGCTCTCCAACGCAACAAAATGAAAAAACCATGAGCAAAATAGAGTTCCGATCTCGATAGTACAATAAGAGTTGCTGCAAACTAGAAGCTACTCGACCTGCAATTCCTTAAGAGAGAGAAAAACTAAACAAGTCATGAATAATAAGCTGAACGAACTCGATTCATCCTGAACTTGATCTTCATCCTGCAAATAGTAGCTGAACCGAAACTCTGTCACTGCAAGCAAAACACCTGTACAAATCCCATGGTAATCTGTGATTAAAAATCAGTACTACTCAAGTCTCTATAAGCAGGGAACCTGGACCTGCAAAACTCGTTTACAAAGTCAGATCTTATGTAACTTCAAAAAGAATCGAACAAGTAAACGTTGAAATCACTAGCCTGGATTCGTTGTGGCTAACATGATAACCTGACTGCAAACAATAACACACAACTGCATATGAAAATAAAACCATGCATGCAACAAGAGGACTCTCCGTAGGCAAACAACACAGACAAGGGTTCAACATTGCAGTAAACTGAAGAACCTACATCCTATTTAGCATGTGTTAAACTTAACTACCATGAAGATGCTCACTTTACTTGATACTTGTTTTCTCAGGAATTGACATAATATTTCAATGGCACATATAATCTTTCTTGTCGAAAGAAATGTTTTTGATGCATAAATCAAATTTTCGGTGAGCCACATCGAGAGTCAATCTACAGAGTATTCAACCAAGAGAAATAGAAGTTGAACAAAAAAGGGAAGATATTCCAATAAATCAAGCAATCAAGCTAAGGGAAGGCAATACTTTTGCTGGCCTAAGCTACATTTTAAGAGCAAAGATTGAGAGGACGTGCAGAAGGAAACCGAGAAAGAGACACGAACATATGCTTGGAGAAGTAGGGTAAATAGGGTCCACGCAATAGATTCATGCACAAAACAAACATACGCACAGAATTAACAAAAACACATGTAAAGGTGCACAAAAATCTATCATGATCCATATGAAAGAACTGTAAACCTGCACACCACCTGCACATTGGAAAATGCGCAGCAAGCTAAACGTCTAGAGAGACAGGACACCTTTCTCAAGAGAACTTTCTCATCAAGAACAAAAACAAAATCTGACAGCAAAGTGTGTGTATGTGTCAGAGAGAGACAGAGATGGAGAGAGAAGAAACAAACCACTAATGCGCATATCCATTATCTGTTCTACTATCACCGCCAGCAGCAGCTGCATTGCCCGCACGGTCGGCCTCTTCTTTTTCCCTATTCCACTGCTCAATTTTAGCACGCCTCTCTTCACTTCCTTCCCTAATAGGACTTCGATCCCTCCTGCCACCTGGACTCCTGCTTCTACCCCTCCTTCGACTTGGACTCGAGGTTTTCCGCCTCCTGCTCTGACTTTCACGGTATTCATCATCATCATGCCTTCTGCTGTGGCTTCGACTTCCATGGGACCGCTCTTCATAGCTACGGTGCCTGTACGGACTTCTGCTCCTGCTCCTGCTCCTGCTTCGACTGTGCCTTCTCCTCTGCCTCCCAAATAATTGACGTCTCAACTCCCTGTATAGTGACATAAAATAATATCAATCAAATGTTTGCATGATTTAACTAAATGAGTAATAGTGATTATCGTACCTGCTAATCCTCTTCAGATGCATGAAGTTACAGTACCCACCGCGGTTGCATGCATCTTCCTCGTACTGCCTACAAGTTGCTTCACGAAAATCAGTCACTGGAGAGAAATCGACGATTATGGGCCGTCCTGCAGGGAAAATCATTTACACACGAAATCATGATCAGCCGAAATAATATGAAAAAACGAACAAGCAAATGCAACCACTCTACGAAATTCTACATAAAGGAACAGAACTAAAAACGAACAGAAAAAAATTAGTACCTGCATAAAATCTTCCAGTAAGAGCTTTCAGAGCTTTAGAAGCATGCTCTTCCTCCCTAAATTGGACATAAACATTGCCAACCTGCACAAAAAGTTCTATTAATACTCAATAAATCTACTTACAAATCAAAATAAACTTCATAAAAAGAAAATAATTACCATATGATCTGCGAGGTTATCACAGATATTCAAGCTTTCAATCTCTCCATGCTTGTTCAATTCCTCAAACAGGTCTTCATAAAAATCCTACAGCACCAAAAAGAGCCCCAATGAAGCACCGAACAACTATTGTATTCCAGTATATAAAACACGTAAAAAGATACTGACACATCACAGATACCTAGCCTAACAGAAGAAAAACAAGCAGATCACAAGAGATACTTTGCTTAACTTGAAATCTTTATCAGTCAGATAATGCCGTTTTCAAATTCAAGATAGCATAAGATACAAGCTGAAAATTCTTCTATGTTTTCTAACTTTACACAGATAACAGAGGCAGCTCTTGACTGCAAAACGATAGGTAAAACGAAACACCGTGTCCTACAGGATATACTCGAAACATGGATAACATCAACATCACGAACATCAGGTCAAACGGCACTTCATAAAGTAAAATTGAACATTTGAAGGAAATAGCAAGCGGAATCGATAATTATAACAAACATTTTGTCGAAATCACAATACACAGGAAATTAATAAAATTTTGGGAGTCAATTACAACTCGAAATTCATCTTTCACGCAACAATAATCGAAGTAATATAAAGTATACAAATATCTTATAAATGAACTTAAGCAATTAAAATTCCGAAAAACGAATTAATAATAAAAGTAAAAAAAAAAACCTCGAAATGCTCCTGCATCTTCTTAGGATCGATGGGTAGGCCTTGGGCATCAACGCCCGGGGTAATCGAGTCGGGGCGCTGGTACATGTTGGAAAGTAACAGGGTCGGGCTAATGCTGGGTTTCGTGTGGAGACGCGAGCAACGGTCACCGTGCCTGCACGCGCCGATCTTGAAGTAGAACGGGCAATTTACCCGATCCTTCTCCGTTCCGAAAATTGAAGCCAAGTGCTCCGCCATTGCAGAGTTCCGATAACAAAAAGCTTCTTCTCGTTAATTTGGGTACCGGTGCGTCCTCTGGTTAGGGTTTCGTACATAGAATGAGAGAGCGAGAACGGAGTTAGAGAGAGAATTTAACCTTAGGCGAGAAGTTTTATTATTGTCTGCTTCTGGATTCTTCTACTTATTATAGATTTTAATATATAAGTAATTCAATACAATCATGTTACCAAGGTGGTTTGCCCGAGTGGTTAAGGGGGAAGACTTAAGATCTTCTGCACATAAGTGCGCGTGGGTTCGAACCCCACAGCCACCACTTATTTTACTTTAATCTTTCTTTTTTTTTTTATTCTCCCTTTTTTTTTTAATTTAATTTCTCCTCCTCTTTTTTTTTTCTCCCTTATTCACAACATAATTTTTCCTGTATCGCATCCGTTATGATATTCAATTTGACATTGTTCGTAAAATACTTGCTTGAGCTCAGTTTAACGATGCAATACAAAATGTTTTACTTTTTTGTACAACACACATTATTGTAAAAAATAAAATCGATATTCAATTCGATATTTGTGTTAAAGGTTTGTTTGAGCTCGGTTTATTAACCCAACTAACATGTTTGAGAACATACTTTCGTTCGATGAGCTGTGAAACTTGAGCTCAATTGGTAAAAAGTATAAAAAAACGTAAAATAAAAAAAAACTAATTAATTCAAGCTCGATTCATACCTGGTTTAATTAAAGTTTTCTTCGAGTTCAATTCAATTCCTTATCAAATTAAACTCAAACACAACTTTAAAAGTTCGATAATAATACCAAAAAAAAAAAATTACTTAAACAAATATACGTTCGACTCAACTCATTTACATCCCTATCAATCATCCATTATATCATGTATCTTCCCAAACCTTAATAATATTCCTGAATCTTTATCGTAAACTATGAAGCCAATCTCTTCAGTTTATGCTTAAATTCAATTTTGATGAATTTATACGTATTCAAACTTTGTAAAGCCCTCCACAAAAAAAAAAAAGAAAAAAAACTTTGTAAAGCCAAAGTGCATATTTCAATGTTGGCCCAGTTAGAAACGGGCCTATGTAAAAATTCCTACAAACATTTGTTTAGTCCAACTTCCCCCGGTGGACCGGCAGCAATTGAGCCGAACTTAACCGAAGTCTGATGGCTCGGTCCGATTATAGTTGAGTCGAATCTAATTCTCAGTGTGTTCGGTCAAGTTTGAACCATTTTTGTTCATATAACTACTTAATGATTAAACGTTTACAACGTTAAAATTCATTTGTTTCTTATTTTGCTCTTCGTGAATATTCTAGATTTTTTACTCTTCGACTGGAAAAAAGTTTTTTTTTTTTCCTTGTTTTCTCTTAACACATTCGATTGCAAAGTTGTAAATGCATAATATAACTTTTAAATGTGTATTAAAATTTATTTATGTACTAAATAAGGACCCCAAATGTGAAACATATTGATGGATGCACTTAGTACTTTCTTTTTGTGTGACATTTATTGTTGCAATAATCGAACAAAATTGAGGGACAAGTTTTGTGAGGTCAATTTTAAGACCAATGACAGTAGAATTGAGATATAGACAGTTCAACCAACTAAGATCAATTAAAAGGTGCTCCTACCAATGTTTCTGTCATCAAATTAGCTTAGAATTTCTTCCCACTTCACATGGCTCGCTTCAAGTATAACTAAACTTACTGCAACGGCATTGCTCGAGTGGTATCGGGCTAAGAAGGATAGTGTTAGTTCACGGGTTATATTCCCATTACGCCAATTTATATATACACACATATATATATATATATATATATATAATCATCAAAATATAGTACATATGGTTGTACTTTGATTTTAATGAAACACGAAACGAATCAAATGTGGTCCTGCCTCACAAAAGCATCATAACCATTCACAAGAAAGCAGTAAAGTTTTAATCACACACCATTGTACTTTGTACACTACTGCTCAAAATCTTTTTATTTTTTATTTATTATTTTCTTGAGCTAGAAAAAAAAAAGTATAATTATGGCATATGCTACGATATAAGGAAGAGGATATTCCAAAAAAAACACTGCCTTTAAAAAATTAAAATTACTTAAGCAAAAAACAAAGTACAATCACACCAAATATAATCACTATAACTTAAAAACCAAAAAAAATAAAAATAAAATACATTATTAATTTAACTAACTCTAATACTTCTGATGTTTCTGCTTGTCTTCACTGTATAATAACAACATGTAGATTGATGCTGATGATCACAGCATTCCCCTTTTTCAGCACGGCGATTTCAAGACATCGATTTTGTGTTTCTCCAAATCAAACCAAACCAAATCTTGTGTAATATATTTAATACAGGTAATTAAATTAACTAATTTGAGCTGTAAAGCTAACTCAATCTGCCCCGATATATATATAAATGTCGATGCGTAACTAATTTCCTGGGACTATTGTGCCAATGTAGCCAAAACCCGCGATCGTAAACGTGATAGTTTGAAGGAATAGATAAACGAAGTAGTAGTTTTTCCCGTAGAGGAAATCGTAGCATCCACTCACGAAAAGGAGCACCGCGAACCCTAGCTCGTGCACGAGTACTCTGAAGAATATTGAAGTAAAAAAGTTGGTTTATATTATTGCAATTTCATACATAAATATAATTGGAGAGAATTCTTGATTTAATTCGTTACCTGTCACCGATGAACTTGGATAGTGATCTCCTTGGCGCAGATGATTTAGATTTGTTTTTGAGAGTGTCTCCGAGTTTTTCGGTGACTACCCATTCGTTGACTCTCTTCGCCTCCAAAAGACCGATGATTGTAGCCTTTGTTCGGTGGAATGACATCACATTCTCGAAAAGTACCCAATAGAACAACAAATGGAATGACCTATTTAAAAAAAAATTAAGTTATAACTATGAATATCAAAGGAAACATTTTACATATTTGTTAGAATTACGAATCTATTTTATTAGGTAATTAATTCTATCTACGTTACGTTACGAAATACGAAATGAAATAGTAAAATGAAATCGAACTGCATTTACGTACCTTGGAGTTCCGACAGAGTTGAGAAGGGTAATAATGCAAGGAAGGTAAATGGCTCCCCATTTCGGGACATAAACTTCAGGAACAAGAATCGTCAACGGAAGAACAACACAGTAAAAGACGAACGTGAACATGTGCGCGATGATTTTTCGAACGAAGAAGAAGCTGTATATCACATAGAACTTCTTGTACAGCGTAACTTTCTGCCAAAATCAACCAAACAAACGAACAATTAATACTAATCTTACATTATATTGTCTGAAAGTTAAAATGTTAACAAACCTTGTTCATTGCAATATCCATCATCATTTTCCTGAATAAATTCGCCGGACCGCAAGACCACCTGTGCTGCTGGAATCGGAACGCTTTAAACGTACTCGGCAGTTCACTTTTCACCTATAAACCAAGAAAATAAAAAATAAAAAAAATTACAGCAAAGAATAAATTTCATGTAAAATAAATGATTAACTATGTTAAAATAAAATAAATAGAAAATGTTAAAAATAAACCTGGAGATCTCCTAAATAAAGAAATTTCCAGCCTTTGAGACCAGCTCTAACAGCAAGATCCATATCCTCGACCGTGGTTCGATCTTTCCAACCACCGGCTTCGTTTATTGCAGCAATTCTCCATATTCCACCAGTTCCTGAATGTGATTAACAATTAGCAAAGTTTAATTAATGATTTAAGATATTGATTAATTGATAATATCTTTGGACTTTAATTAATTTACCATTGAAGCCAAAGAAGGCATGAGTGGCTGATCCAACTTCTTGCTCAACTGTGAAATGATAGTCCAATGACATTTCTTGCATCCTTGTCAGCAAACACTCATCTGAATTCACTGCAGTCAAAAAAGTAATTTTTTTTAATTTTTATGTAAATTGGTAATTAACCTATCATAAATGTAAAATAAAAATTACAGATACAAAATATGCAATGAGAGCAAACAAGATTGCAACATATGATTGGGACTTCGGGCCACGTGAGTGGTTTGAGTTTTTTTTTTTTTTTTTTTTTTTTTTTCTGACACCACGTGACACGAACATTTAACATAGTTGCCACGTCACCTATCACAACCTGGAAATTAGAATTTCCAATTCAATCTTAATTTATATATTTTTTTCTTTTTTTTTCACCCTCAAATTGTGACTGTCGGCAACGTTGACAACTGTTTGTGGAAAAATAATAATAAATAATTAGCCAGTGCGGCTCCACCCAGTGATGCCATGTGTGTACTGAGCAGAGAATACTAGCACATGGATGGATAGAGGCGAAATGACTACTCTACCCTTCGGTTGACCTTTTGACTATTTCTTTATATATATTACCTACGTCAGTGAAAATATATATTCACCAGCTTTAATTTGCTGTTTTGTCCGGTTGTCCCCTTTCAAAGAAAAGGACAAACCTACCCCGCATATCTAGCACTTTTACCCGCGGGAACACGCAGATACTTCCCGCAAAAAGTCAGGACAATTTCGTCATTTTCGAATTTCGTAACCAAGATATATTTCATTATACTATAATTAGTTTATTAAAAACTCATACAAAAAATATATAAAAACGAAAAAATAAATAATTAATATTTGAAATTATGTAAAAGAATCAATTAATAACGAGAATTCGTGTATTGAGTAGCTACAACTAATCAATTTTACCAATTTTATTATTAATACAGTGGTGGTTGTTAAACAAATCCCCCCAAACACGTAATAAGTCAAAAATAGACAATTAAGGAAAGTTGGAGGGTGAAAGTAGTAATATTATATTTTATTATATTATATTATATTATAAAGACCAGCTTTTTATACTAGTTGCACCAGATTATAACCCGTAGAATGGGTCCCACATGTACCGCGATGTATGCAACAAATCTCTCCGAGAAGCAACGAAGAAAAAAGTAAGACCAGAGAAAAGAGAATATTACTATATTATAAGGGCCCCAGCGCAATATTAGTAACAGTGACGATAGTAAGACCACCGACACTTTGCATTATAAGGAAAATCTTTATTGTGACTTCAATTCTACACTAATCTAAATGTTTTATATGTTTGGGGAAATAATCAAAGTAAAGTGGTTCGACTTGGGGACTACCAATTCGAATATTTTAATTTAAAAAAAAAACGAATCATTTAATACGTGACAATTAATTAGTGTAATTTATGGTCTTCTCGAAAACCCAATTGGCATGTAAATTATTGGTAACGCAATAAATGCGTCAATTATTTTTAGTAACATGGAAATTAATATTTTTATTATATAATTTTCTTAAGCGAATAATTAATAGTAAAAAAAAGAAGACTCACCGAATCTCCAACGACCTTGCACAAGCGCAATATCCCGGTTATGAATGAGAAAAGGGATGGACCGTCTGAGAAAATCGGGTTCGGGTCGGAAATCAGCATCGAATATGACGACGTACTCGCATTCTTTAACGTAGTCGCGTTTCAATCCTTCTTTAAGCGCGCCGGCTTTGTAGCCACCTCGCGACTCTCGAATTTGGTATGTTATGTTAAGTCCTTTGCTTGCCCATCTCATACATTCCTTCTCAACCATATCCTATATAAAAAAAATAATTAGAATTATTAATAACGCAAAATAAAAATAAAAATAAAAATTAAAATTAAAAAAAATTAAAGGCGAATATTACGTAATCACCACTCGCGCCCATTTTAGGAAATTCAATGTTTCCGACAATGATAGTGTCGGTTATGGTAAATTGTTAACTGCTATTGAAAAATTTCCCTAAATAATTAGGATTAAAAGATGCAGTGAGGACAAGAAGTGCAATTATGAAAAAGTTGCCACTTGTAGGAATAAATCTATATATTTATATAGGAAAATAGGTGTGGAAAGAAAAGGGCTAAATGCTTATTAAAGCCTTGATCTATGATTAGCACTATTAGAGATTGGATTAACAAGATTTAAGATTGAGATTAGTGCATAGGAAAACAGCCAAAAATAGTAAATATGCATGCATTATTTGAAAAAAGTGAGAAATTGACCAAGATATTCTTTTCATTAATTGTGCCTACAACAATTACGAGACGATAAGGGTAGAGTTGAAAAAACATGTAACTAATGTATTGAAATGACAAATAATTTTAAACAAAATAATTTCTTGAAAAAAACTATGAATATTTTGTTATGCACTAATCACGTCTCAATTTAAATGTCGTTTTGGGTTGCTGCGCGCATATTAAGAAAATCAATAAATATGCATAAATTAAAATATATAAAATCACTAAATATTATTTTCTCAATTAATTAATGCAATTAATGTTTCATAAAAATTGTAAAATGACAAATAATTCCCGAATGAAATAGAATTTATAGCAGGATCCTTATATAAAAAACAAAAAAATAAATCTCAAAAGTTTTTGGTTTTTATTTTATTTATTAACATAGTGATAATTGATATGCAGGTGTCTCCTATATCTATTTACCTACAGCTATATATATATATAGATATATTAATATATGTACCTTGATTCCAAGATCAGTTGTATCATCCAGTACTTGAATCACAAGCCTATCAGCAGGCCATGAAA